AAGAGGATCAGAATCGATAGTTAGTACAAACAATGCCATCTCCAATTTATTTTTTCAAAAAAGAAATTAATTGGAACCAGCCCATAATAATAGAAGAGGGGATCCATATAATCGCAATTTCAAAATTTAACTTGTGAGTTCGCGCGTACACAACACTGCAAGCAGACCTGAGTCACATCTCAAGATTTCTGAACTTATAGTGGTGCCTATTTTAAATACTATTTAAAGTATGGGATTTGCTGAAATTATCGAATTCGCCCGATATTAGCAAGTCGTCAGTTGAATTAAGCATCGGCTATGGAGACAAAACATTGGCCATCTGTGCGTTATAATGAAATTAATCAAGACGTGAATATTAGAAAATATTTAATTATCAAATGGCAGGCGTTTTGATAGTTATCATTAGCACTTTAATTGACTTCAGGCTTCACAGAGGGGAAGGAACATCAAAGTGGAAAAAAGTTGAGAGGAGGAGGAACAGAAGATTGTTTCAGAGATGTAAAAGAGACAGACACAAAGGTAGAAAAAGGTGAGGCGAGAATGTGGAAGTAGTCGAATATGACATATAGTGGGGTGATGGTTGTTTGAAGTGAGAAGTCAACTGCCAGTTAATAGACTTTTTTGCCGTATGATTATACGTTGCCCAGGGTGCACCACGTGGAGGTAAGTCTATCCCACACCCGATATTAGAAAATATAGGCTGTCTGCAATACGCTTGCCTAATAACTGAATAAAATCCTCAAATAGTCCTCATTCATTTTAATTAATTTATTCTGTTACCTTATTCACATTTTCGATGGGCGCGTAGTTCAATCTTTCTAAAATTCGAATTTTATCAGTTTTGAGTAGTTTCAAATCCTTTGTATTCAGAACATAATGACTCCCTTGCTAATAGAATTAAAATATGACAAAAGATCATTTTTGTGCTAATGCAACCATTTTCGCTCGCTAATACGAAGTGGAGAAATCGATCATTTCAAACTTTCCTAGCATAAAAAGCGCACGACTGCATGGCAAATCACATGACACACTGGTAGCCAAGGCATTCTTCAACGCTTATTACAGGCCGTGGGCAAAGTGGAACATACCTTCCCAATCCCATAACAAATGACATTTTCGTTTGATTGTAAGATATTCATTTTTGGTGCCTTAGTGCACTTTGTTCTTTGATAAATTAGTCCTTGCTTGCAAGATGAGTCTCCAAATTAGTGACTATTTATTGTAACTACTAGTTTAGACTTGTTTTAATTGCAGAAAAGGATTTGATGTTGGCGATATCTGAGAACGAGAAGTCTAGTCAACTGTTAACGTTACTAACTTAACAACTCTGTTTATGCAAAATTTGAGAAAGGGTATGGAAATTTGTGAGCCCATGGGCAATCTTCAACCTAATTAGCAGTGTTATCCAATCTCTAAGGTACCGATCTAAAGTACCACTTATCAATGTCATTCCATTAGTTATGTAAACCTGCGGTGTGCAATAGACTTACCTCCACGTGGTGCACCCTGGGCAACGTATACTCATACGGCAAAAAAAGTCTATTAACTAGCAGTTGACTTCTGACTTCAAACTGCCATGACCCCACTGTATGTCATATTCGGCTACTTTCACAGTACTCACCTCACTTTTTTTCTAGCATTGTGTCTGTCTCTTTTACATCTTTGAAACACTCTTCTGTTCCCCCTCCGTCTCGAATTTTTTCACTTTGATGTTCCTTTCCTCTGTGAAGCCTGAAGTCAACTGAAGTGCTAATGATAACCATCAAAACGCCTCCCATTTGATATAAAATAATAATATATTTATTAAAAATAAGTTCTGAATGCAAGTTAAATTATTTCCGTAAGCTGTTCTAAATAGGTTTGTGATATCCTTATAAAGTCGAATGACCTCAGATGTTAAGAAGGTACAACACTGTTGTACAATTATGTGAACTTGATTTTAGATAATTTTCTTTACTTGGGAACACTGTATATCATTATTTGGTTAAAATCAAAATAATGATAAACAAGACTATTAGTTAATGACTCAATTTTCAAACTCTTCAATAATCTATGTATTTGAGAAATGCTTTCAAAACGGCAGCTGTCATTATAGTACACGTTTTTTCAACACTTCAAAATAACTATGAAAAACAGATCTATTGTGATTGAACTTCAAAGGCGACTTAGTTAATTTCTAAATGCCAACTTCATCTAAACGCTCACACTTCTCTGATGAGGGTCTTAGTCATTTATAGTTGGTTGATTAAAGAGACTGAAAGTCTGTGAAGTGCACAACGTTACTATGGCTGGACAAAGAAATCTCACACGCACTAAGACAGGTTCGAAGGTGCGGACGTGATACTTGCCATGTAAGGCGCGAATGCGGTCGTGGGCATAACGACCTTTCAGCCAACCAATAAACAACAGTCTCTGTATTGTTTAACGAACCCTTCATCCTATTTTACTGACTAAAACCCGTGACAGACGACACGTCATCCGTCTTGTCATAGATGCTATGGCGGCTACGGCAAGACCCATTAGTGTAGTAAGCCGCTATAAGTCTTGTCATCGAAAATTGATTCTTTTTATCGATTAGCAAGGACCGCAACACTCTGCAATTAGTCAAATCAATCGACAAGAGTAATAGTACCCAATGGCTCTTGAAGTAATAGCTCTAAAAATCTAAGGAGAGAAAGATTGAATTCGATTAGTAGTAGTATGCTTGGTAGAAGCGGGACTTTAATGAGGCTAAAGAATTAGTCGAAATTGCTGAATAGAACCCAGAATTCAATCAGCGCTTCCTTTAAATGGCCAAAGGAAAGCTTTTATTTCTACCTCGATTCAAAGTTTCCTCAAGCCCATTGAAGGCACTTCAGTAGTACTTGAGTTATTGAGGAGAAAAAATTCTGAAATTGCTGTCTGATAATCCCGCCTTCCACCGCCCCTCTACCCCCCTACGGTTGGCTGCATACCTAACCGATTTTACATCACTAAGCGCCAGTTTGATTTGACAAACACGTAACTTGGTTATTGTGAAACTGTCCCCAAAAGAAAACTTTAATACCGGTATTTCGGACAATTTCCCCCCGAATTTCCATTTTAATTACATATTGTAAATAAGGAATTTATCCTTTTACACAGAGACGACAAGGAGGTCATTTAAATCGAAGTGTGTTCAAATACCTTTGGATACTTCTGCAAATGCACACCAATTTGGGTTTCAAGGTCAAGAGCCGATACATCTGACTTATAAGGCTGGAGAAATCGATATACTAATATAAACGAGCTGCCATTGGGTCACTTGCGACATTCTTGTTTATATGCGTAAATATATCAGTGTCCACAGAATAAACGAGTGCATTTTACCAGTTTCGTAGGTTACATTAAGATACATAACTTTTTCATTAACTATTTAGAGCATAATGTCGAAATCCGATTTCATCATTTTCCTTTTTCTAATTTGGATTACCCTGACAAGCGTTGAGGCCATAAAAGGCTATAAAATCTATCTCAATCCCAATTGTACCGTGGCCAATAACTGCACACTCAATGAGACGAAAATAGTTCAAGTCATTGTCAAACAGCCCAACAAAACAATTCATTTCCTCCTCCCTGGAAACAATCCCAAGGCCCCACTCTCAGTTATAATGCTTGAAGCGGACGCAAATGCTGACCAGGTGAGCGTGAATTGGACAAGGTTTCTCTCTCAGAGTGGTGGTATCGCTGGTTCAATATCACTTAAAGGCGTTCGTACCTCCTATGGATTCATTATTAATGAGGTACGTTTATTAACCCCCAAAAGAATTTTTCAATTCCATCATTCTGTTATTCCGTTGATAAGGATGAACGTTTACACTATTATTACCCGGTCATCAGGAGAACTTTCTGACTTTTAGAGGCATTAAAAGCGCTTCATTCACCCTCCTCTATAAATGAATGGTATGGGTCATTATAATTCGACTGACAGGTCTCTGAATCTGGAAGATAACAGCTAGTTTCCATTCAAATGAAACAGCCATTCTAACATAGGGAAAAAGATTTAAGCAACTTAGAAGAAATTTTCTCGATACTGACCAGAAGGACAACCTGTCAAGTGTGTAATAGTTGATTTTAACTAAACAGTTTATCCTATCTTCATTTCAACTAATCTTACAATGAGCAGGAATTATCTATTTGGACTTTTACGAAGGTACCTTTCGCGCGATTATTATTCAAAGGGGGACATTTGTTTAATATGAAATGAAAGGGCAATTCAAACTGGGTGAAATGAGCCATAACTTTCATAAATAAGGAAACTGAGTGAACAGTGACTAAGGTGAGCTCAAAAACATGTGATACTTGATGGAATGGAGAGTCAATTGAGCTGACCTACTACAGAACGATAGATGCTTAAGTTTCAAAATTGCATTTAAGGAAGTGGAGAGGAGGAATTGAACATGAAAACTTGACCACCTATTCCACTAAGGATCATATTAATAAGCGAGTTTCACTCAATCAGAAATGCCTGAAGGAAGCCCTTTATCTGTTATCTGTTGCCGATAGAAAGAAAAATTATCCTGATCAAAAACTATGAATTAAGTGTCGATAATTGTAATGTTTGAAGTAATTGGTAAAGAAGAGAGTAAGGAATGAAAAATGCGAGAGAATAACTTTTCAAGGATTGAAGTGTTTCATCTACAGCTGTCTCTCCATCTTCGACTCTGTGAAGCCTATTTCAAAGTAGTTCACATTCTTTACATAGGCAGACCCAGCTAAACACGGATCAATCCTTTCATCTACCAGACAGATGTATTTAGGCCCTCTCCAGACTTCCAGTTTACATTGAGTGGTGTGATCCTGAGGTGAATCTAACCTTTCATATAATTAAGATAGTTAGCCTAAGATTTCATTTCAATACCCATATAAATATGCTTGCATTTCAAGATGTTACTGATACTTCTACGCTACTCAGATGTTGATTTTGAATTGCGCCAAACACCTGTAGTGTGGTTGGCAGCTAAGCTATAACTAAAAAATGTAAGGTATTAAGCATAGTTGGTAGGAGTTGGAAAAGGGAACGTTAAGGAAATTGACCCATTCTCAATTTTTAAAGTCAGCACATGTCAGGAACTGGTAGTATGTGGGAATCGGCTGAGTACCTACCTGAATTCGGTTGTCCCTTAAACAAAGGAGTCAGTAGTAATTAGTTGGCATCATTATAATATCTTTCAAATTAAAACTTATTTTATTTTATTTACAGTTCTGTGTCTACATTGATTTCAAAGATTCTGCCGTTATAACTCCAGATGATATAACTCGCCAATGCCAACACATGTTGGGAAAGAATTTACTTTGGCAACTAATTGTTAATGCTAATGGACAGAACCCCTTGAAATTCGTCTACACTGCTGTTAAATCTAATGACACTTGGGACACCTTTAACAATGTCACAGTCAGCGTAAGTACTCCATTATGCATTTTCGTGATGTTGAAGTAAACAAAAATCTTTGGGATCAAAGATTCACTAAAAACAGAAAGTAAATTCGATTAATCTGAACTAGTCTGATAAATCTGGTGACTCTGATGAGAAACTCCTATTCTGTAGCTTTTATTTGACGAATTCGACCTTAAAAGGCTGATCAATAACTTCACTGTACATAAACCAATAGAAATCGATACCCTTAATCAAAGATCTATAAGTTGAAGGATTTGTCCACTACGTAATAGGTACTCAAAATGTTCTTGTAAAGTTTTCCTCTTTAAAAATTAAAAAAATGGTGAGTTAATATGAGCATTTAACTATAAGCTAATGGCTGGTCCAGTGAAATTTTTCAGAATTCATTCTGGGATTAGAAACTACTCATATATTCGCCTAAAATGTCCCATTTTAGTGATGCAATGGGTACTTTCAAAAACTCATTAATTCATTAAGCACAGTTCACAGCGTTTATCAGTTTCCTCACCTCCCATCAACCTTCCATCGTGCTATTGTAGAAACTTCCTGAACTTGTGAACGCGCGACTCGTTTACCCTTCTCTATATTTTATTTCAATCATTTGAGTTCCAGCCGATAATTGGCCAAATGCATCCTAAATATAGGTATTAGGATGGTAAAACTTGTAACCAAGTAATAAGATAGGTCGTTTTTATAAGAAATGGTTAAAGTCTGTCCAAGTTATCGACTATGAGGTCATTGAGCTCATACGGTGAACACACTGAAGGTATCTGTTCGACAGAGAGAATTTCGAATTGTTTAAGTTTGCTTACAATCCCATGAGCACATTAAATGTATATATATATATATATATATATATATATATATATATATATATATATAT